TTGATTTTTCAGGGTTTCAAGCTTTCACCTTTCAAATCTATTTTTCTCTTTAAAATATTTTTTTAGTCCCATATTCTAAAGTCTTAATCTTGAAGATTTAAAACGAGTTTTACATTTTGAAATAAATTTTACGTGATTTTGAACACCATTTTCACATGTTTTTATTTTATTTAATTATCCTTGGATTCTACTATATTAATGTTTATTTTGGAAAAGTTTTTACTATATTTATGTAATTTTCAACCCTTTTAAGAAGTTTTTTCAAACAATTTGCGTTAATGACGTTATTAATTTAGGTTACATTTTGCTATATATTTGAATATTTTCATCTCAAATCTATATTAACTTACGTTTCACTTCCAATTTCAAACTTCCCAATTTCTTTATCTTTTCAAAATTTCAGAACTCAAGTTTATCAAACTATTTCACGGTTTTAAAGCTTTTAAGTTCTCAAAGATCTTTTTTCGCTTTCAAGTTTTCTAACCTTAATGACATTTCCTATAATTTTAGATTATTTTAATCTCAAATTCTTCATTTACCATAGTTTTTAAATTTCGCTTTAATTTTCTAATGATTTTCAAACTTTTCAATTTCTCTAACTTTTCAAAGTTTTTATAACTCTAGTTTCTTTGAGTTTTCAGCTTTTCATGCTTTCAAGTTTTCAAGTCTATTTTTCACTTTAACAGTATTATGCTTTGTTCTCAACTTCTCATATTCTAAAAGTCTTAATAATCTTTTAAAGTTCTAAATAGTTTTAAGTTTTAAATATATTTACATGTATTCAAACACCATTTCACATATCTTTATTTTGATTTTATTAGCCTTGGATTTTATAAATATTAGTTTTGGAAGATTTTTTTACTGTAATTTTGTACTTTTCAACCCTTTAAAGAAAAATTCAAACGATTCGCCTTACCTCAGTGATATTTTATGATATTTTTTTACAGTTTACTATATATGTAAACATTTTCATTTCAATTCGGTAAGTTACTATATTTTTTAACATTTTAATATCAAATGGTTCTATAAATTACATTTCACTTTAATTTTTAATTTCAAACTTTCCCATTTCTTAATCTTTTAAAAAATTTATAACTCAAGTTTTTCACACGTTTTCATGTTTGTAAAGCTTTCAAGTATTCAAAGATCTTTTTTTCTTCATTTTCAAATTTTCAAATATTCATTACATTTTACTATATTTTCGATTTTCTAAATCTCAAATGGTTCCTTTACCATGATTTTTAAAATTTTTCTTTAATATTCAAATGATTTTCAAACTTCCCAATTTCTAAAACTTCTCAAGTTTTTATAACTCGAGTTTTTCAAACATGTCGTATTGAGACATTTATGCTTTGGAAATGCTGTAATTTGATTTTGTTTTGTTTATTTCTACTTAGTTGCTTCTTATGCTCTGGGCTTTGTTCATGTGAACTTAGTGCCATGACTGTACTTACTTTTCAAATATATTTTTCATTTTGACACTATTTTATCATATTCCGAAAGTCTTAATCTTGAGAACTTTTCAATGGTTTGAAGTATTAAAGTAAGTTCTACATAATTTCAAACATCATTTTAACATGTTTTCATTTTTTTATTTTATGACCCTTGTGTTCGACAAATATTTATTTTGGAAAGGTAATATTACCATCCATCTTTTGTATTTTGACTGATTACCTTTCCATATATGAAATACTTATGCCGGGAGAATTTTAATCTCATTTCAAAATAGTTCCGGGTTATTCCCAGGACAATTGTAATCTTGTTTCAATATTATTATCCATTTCCTTTGCACCTATTGGCAGTGTATATTGACTGATTATTTTTCCAATATAAGGTTCATATGAGATATTTCTTCTGTTTCACCAGCCATCTCTTTAGGCTTGTTGAGATCAGTTTTAATCTTGGTTACATATTACCATCCATCTTTTGTATATTGACTGATTACCTTTTTTAAATATGAGGTACTTATTCAGTATCACCAGCTATCTCTTTATGTTTGTTGAGATCGTATATTATCAACCAATATCTTGAACTGAGAAGCTTGGTACAAATTCTTAACTGTGTAAAATGTTTTGGGCTATTTGCAGGACAATTTTAATCTTTGATTCAATATTACCATCAATCTCCTTTGCACCTATTTGCTGTGTATATTAACTGATTATATTTCTGATTTTCATTGATGACCTTCCGTGAATTTGATGCGTTCATATAAGATGTTTATTCTGTCTCACCGGCTATCTCTTTAGGCTTGTTGAGATCAATTTTAATCTTCATTCAAAATTACCATCCATCTCTTTGTCTATGGACTGGTTACTCTCGCAAATTTATCGCTCATGACCTTTCCAATTTTGGTTCAACTTAGACGCTTTATTAATTTGCATGCAGCTATGCAGATATTTATCTGTGTCACCACAGTCTTTTAGGCTTGTTGAGATTGTGTTCCCATTATCGACGCAATAATTTGAACATCTAACAGAAAAAGTATGTTCCGTACGTATCATTTCTTAACGAAACGCTGGTTTGTTTGAGGCTTCATTAAATCTCTATCTCGAAAAATAGATGACCTGCATTTTTATGTAGCTCTAAATATGTAACAATTTCCTTCTATAGGCCTACTGTGGAAAGTGTATTGGTTACTTAGTAATAGTTATCAAGAAAGCTTGATACAAGTGACTTTTCATACTATAGTCCTATGACATCTTGTCTAACACCTTTGCTTATAAAATTTTGCCATATGCAGATTCTTTTTATATTGGCCAATCCTATTCTCATGGGCCTGACTGGAGAAGTGTATTGTTAGCTGTTACTTAATATAAGAAAGCTTGATACAAGTGACTTTTCGCAATCCCCGTCCTATGACATCTGTAATGGCATCCTTTGGCTTATAAAATTTTGATTAGATATATTTAACCTTCTGGTAGAATTTCATCTTTTTCTGCACAAGATTTTTTTCTCGAAAAGAAAAGAAGGTCCTTTAACCATTTCAGAATGTAAATTACATCTGATTTTCCCTTTAAATGTTCAAATTTGTAATTTCCAGTCATTTACTCATTTATTCATTTATGATCGATATAAAATTTTTTAAATCCCCAAGTTCTTGAATTTGAAATTATTTAATTGTTTTTAATACTCTTTTGATCTTTGGTATTTCTTTTTCTACTACCTGTTATTTTCAGCAACCATATCGAACTTATAAAATAGTTTGTGTTACCATTATCAAATAGTTTCAAGTTTTTTAGGAAATAGTATCAATGATCCTGACTTGTTTTGTGAATTTTGAAATTTAATCTGAGGTTTGCATATGTTTTATTTACTTTCAAATGAATGTAATATTTTTGACAAATTTTGAATTGTTAAACTGGTTGGTGTATTGTCTTAGTTTTAACTTAACACTCTTTTTCCATACACACACGCACATACGTAACTCAAAATTTGAAACTATAAATACCTGGTTTGTTTCATTTTTTATTTTTTTTCTAGTAATAAATATACACTACACTTTGTAAAAGGTTTCTAATTTTTTTGAATCAAAGTACCCTTATGGTTTTTTGAATCAAAATACCCATATAGTTTTCTCAATTTTTCAAAATAGTAAAATCTTTATGAGAATTTTAAAACTCTATATTAGTTGGTGTATCATTTTGTTTTAAGGTTCCTCGTAGGCCTTTTATGTTATTGCTTCAAGCACTACCTTAACGTTTTCGAAGTTCCAAAAAAATTCTGTGAAAGAACAGTCATCTCTTAAATTTTCAATTGAAGTCTTGTCTTTTTAATTTTTTAAAGTAATTTTTTTCATTTATTAATTTTTTGACAAATCTTGTTCCTTTTAATTATGGAGTTCGTTTTTAACTTGTTTTTGACTTGTTCCTTTTATTTCTGAGAAAGGTCTTCTATAATTACGTTCTAAATAATGTATTTCTTTAAAGCATCAAAATTGACTTGTATATTACATACTTCTCATTAATCATCATAACTTGCATCAACTCAAGTTGTCACATGTTATCGGTTTCCCAAGTTATGTGAACTGATATCAAGTGCTTCATTAATTCTACCCTCGGGTGATCTCACACTTTTGAGAAGTCAGTCCTCAATAATATTAGTCTCATTAGGCATGTTGATATCAGTTGCCCTATTCATACTCACCGGAAACTTGCAAATGTGTTTCATCAATTTATCCTTTTATGAATGTTTAAAATACAGCTTAACGTGATCCAACATCAGATCATTTCTTATAGATTTCCAGATAGTCTATAGTGCCTACTTTCAGTTACTAACTGAAACTGATGCCAATTCTAGAGTCTTACAGATATTTATCCGCGACCTAGTTGTTGATCCAGAGACTTGTAGAGGGCTTTCATAATTTTATTCGTGCCCCAATTTTTGCATGCACTTCAATATTGATCTAGATCCTGTAGCCCCATCTAAGCCCTTAAGGTTATTGAGATTATATATTTCCTGCTTATCATTACCCACCAAAATTTGATACTAAGGGTTTCACTACATAAGTTTCCTCTCAGTTATTCTAAGTTATATTATGAGATTATATATTTCCATCTTATCACTATCATAAGATATTTTCTAAACCTCATTCAGGAGCATATTCAATTGCTTAGACTTGGCGGCAGTATATTTAACTTATCTTACTCATTTCGAATCGATTTGCGATCAAGCTTAATTAGCCACCACTAACTACTTAACTAACTGTGGATCTCCTTAATTGACTAATTGATACCTTGTGCCACATTAATTTTACTATCATTACCCGTTAGTCATTCACATGCACTTTAGATGCTTACCTTGTGTGAGCTCCTCTTTTCTGGGCTTGTTACTCTACAGTCTTTTGGGTGACATCTTACATCCAGTTGGACTTACTTAGAGGTACGCTTAATCTGAATTTGATACAATGGGCACATCAATTCTACTCTCATTTATGCATCTCGTGCACTCTAAATATTAATTTCTTATTATAATGTGCATTTTTTGAGTTATCCTTATTGCAGTTTGTTCAGTGTAAGCATTTATTGAGGTTGTATATGTTCACTTATTGGCACTCCTTTGAGTTTGTACCAAGGGGCTTCCTCAACTCTTCCCTATAGCCTCGGGTTAGAACCGGATTGACTCTAATTTAATATTGAGGTATTCACATTTGAACTTTCCTATTCTCTTGGATAATATGAATCTGAAGTTTCTTCTCTGAATCTAAAAGTATGTGAAATTATTTTCTTGTGCCCTATGCTTATGAAAATGTGGGACCTATTAAATTACTCGGTAAAGTTTTTTAATTTAATTTTTCCTCTTCTCACAAAATTATAGCTAAACTTTTGAAACTATATATAGTTATTTCGTTAATTGTTTTAATTAAATTTCCTAGTACTAAACTCTTTCTTCATAAATTTTCCTAGAGCTCTTTGGAATTTTGAGAAGTTTGTGGGATTTTTTGAAGTCTAAGCTTTATTTTTATTGTACTTTTTAAATTACAATAATATGACATTTTTATCAAAAAATTTGATATATTGATTGAAATTTTCTCTAATGGATTAGAAAATTTTATAAACCAAATGTAGTTTTTGCTCTTTGTTTTTCTTTCCAGTTTTGCAGTTCTGAATTTTATCAAAATTCTTCCTAACTTTTTAATTCTAAAGTATCAAAATTTTTAATGTTATCCATATGCTTTTTATTCTCAATAAACTTATGTTCTGTAGGTTATAATTTATCAAACTTGTAAATAGATTGCCTATTTTTTTTACTTTCTAGTATAATGCGATGTGCTCCTATTGAAGGATAAAAAGAGAGAATTAACTAAGGTGGTTTGGTCATGTACAATGGAGAACTCTTAACGTATCGGTTAGGAAAAAATGATAATGTTATAGTTAATGGGGAAAGAAATCTAGAGGTAGACCTAAGGAGACTTGGATAGAAGCAATTAAAAGGGATAAAAGGATATGATAATAGTTGACTTAATAGAAGAAATGGTCGAATATTGAACGGAATTGAAAGAATAGGATTCATGTAGTGTTGTGCGCAACGGAAATTTCGGCAGCACCTTTGCTGCATAACAAGAGAGTAAGATCATAACTAAATCCCTGTTTCACAAAGGAAACAAGAACCGAAAGTAATATATCTCAACAAAGTGGGATATACACTCTTCCTCTCATCAGTTCCAGGACTGACTTGTCGAGGGAACTAACAAGGTATTACAAATCACAGCAAGACAAACTATTAGAGAGAATACAAATAGGGTTTACAATCACACAAATTAAATCCTAAACAATCTTCTCAAAACTCACACAAAAGGGTGCACAAATCCTAAAAAACGGCTGCTCAAAATCACCTCTTTTTCTCCTGTGTTTTCACCACGCCGTCATTTTTCCCCTTCTGTGTTTTTTCTTCTTGCCGCAGCCAAAAGAGAAAACTCAGCCGTTCTTTTTTCTTCCTTGCACACAACCCTAGGAACTGCTACAAAAAGATATATATATAGCATATCAATTCGGGTGGGCCCCATGTGCTTAGCCTCCCACGTGGGTGTGTCTCAATTGCGCGTGGGCTTGCTAACTTTTGCGCGTGAGACCCACTCACAATTCTCCACCTCGGTGAAGTTTCTTTTAAAATCAAGTCGACACCAAAGCAACCAAATGTCCCGCTTATTATGTTCAGTATGCCGTGAAGTTAATTCACGACAACGGACTAAATCCACAACAAGTTGGTAATCCGAACGAGAGTCCAAACAATCTCACCCTCATCAAAATCAAGTAATCCAAACCGGCTGCATCATAAAGACTACCTACGTATCCTCTTGCCTAAGGAATCAAACCTTATGTAGTTCATCCAAATGGCCTCTAAAGGCCTTAACATCGAAGAATGTTCAAAAGCTCCAAACAATAACCAAACTTAACACCTAAAACAACTTTGGTCAACATATCCGCATGGTTATCTTTTGTGTGGATCTTCTCCAATATGACATCTCCATCCTCTAAGACATCACGAACGAAGTGGAATCTAACATCAATGTGTTTCGTGCGTGCATGATAGACCTGGTTCTTCGCCAAATAAATAGCCGACATACTATCACAATATACCCGAATGGTCTCCTGTGATATCTCTAAGTTCTCCAATAATGCATGGATTATTAGAGAATTTACAGCTTCATTCACCATCATATACTCCGTCTCTGTAGTAGAAAGAGTCACTGTAGACTGAAGTGTACATCTCTAACATACCGGTACTCCTGTCAATGTAAACACATATCCTGAAGTAGACCAGTGCTTGTCAAGATTTCCCGCATAATCTGAATCCACATAGCCAATATAATCTTGTCCTGTCTTCTCATTCTTCTGAAAAATTAAACCAATATCCACGGTACCTTTGATATACCGTAGAATCTACTTCACGGTCTCCTAATGACCCTTCCCAGAGTCGTGCATGTACTTGGATACCATGCTCACAGCCTGTAATAAATCTGGCATCATACACACCATAGCATGCATCAAGCTACACACCGCACTGGTATATGGAACCTTCGACATGTAATCTCTGTCATTAACTAAAACAGGTGACATCAAAGCTGAAAGCTTGAAGTGGGGAGCCAATAGAGTGCTTACTGCCTTTGCATTGCCATCAAAGCTGAATTTCTTAAACATCTTCTGCAGATAACTCCTCTGTGTTAGCTTCAATTTTCCCTTCGTCCTGTTTTTCTCGATCTTCATACCCAAAATCTTCTTCGTCTCTCTAAGATCTTTCATCTCAAACTCGGATGACAGCTTTTTTTTAAACTTTCGAATAGCCGAAGAATTCCTAGAGGCAATAAGCTTATGATCAACATATAATAACAAATAGATGTACTCACCATATTATAGCTTGCGCATGTAAATACATGGGTCAAATGGGTTCCTCGTGTACCCTCGGCCAATCATAAAGCCGTCGAATCTCTTGTACCATTGTCGCGACGATTGCTTCAATCCGTAAAGATTCTTCAGCTTGCACACCAATTCTTCCTTTCCTACAGCTTTGAACCCCATATGTTGTGTCATGTAGATCTCTTTCTAAATCTTCATGTAGAAAGGTTGTCTTCACATCCATCTGGATCAAATCCAAATCCAGCTGTGCCATCAATACCAACAGAATCCTAATCGACGAATGCTTTACAACAGGTGAGAATATCTCGTTGTAATCAACGCCCTTAAGCTGTGCATAACCCTTGGCAACCAATCTGGCTTTGTACCAAATGTCCCCATTAGAAAATCCCTCTTTGTTTGCATACACACACTTGCATTCAATAGCCTTCTTATCCTTCGGTAGTTTTGCAAGTTCCAAGTATCATTCTTCTAAAGAGACCGCATCTCCTCCTCCATATCTTGCCTCAATCTGATCGAATTAGAGCTTGACTCTTCCTCCTTGAATGTAGAAGGAATCAAATCATCAACGAGTTCTACTGATAAGGCATATGTAATCATGACATCATTATATCTAGATGGCCGACGAATCACTCTTTTGGGTCTGTTTGCTGCAATGGACTCCCGAATATGACCATGCCCCGAATATGACCATGCTTCTGAGTCTCACTATTCACTGTATCCTCTATATGCCCAGCTGTCATTCCATCTCCTCCTAATGTCACCTCTGTAGGATCCTCAATAGATACAATGCTATTTGGAATGGGTGAAGTCACATCATCCTCCACCTGCTACGATATCCTTCTTGTTTGGTCTCCCTCAACCTGCTGAGGGACTTGATTCCTCATTATGTACGTCTCGTCGAATGTAACATTTCTGCTAATAACTATCTTCTTGTCTTGTGGATCCCATAATTTAAAGTCTTTTACTCATTCTCTAAAGCTCACAAAGACTGCTTTCTTTACCCTCGGATTCAATTTACCATCACTGACATAGTAATAAGCTGGACACCCAAATATCCAAAGCGACTCATAGTCACTTGACACCGAACCAGACCAACGCTCCGTAGGAGTTTTCCCCTGTATCACACTGCACGATAATCTATTCACGAGATGGTCGCATAAACCAACGCCTCGATCCAAAAGGATCTTGGCAATCCACTCTGCGTCATCATACATTGCACCTTTTCTAACAAGGTACGGTTTAATCTCTCAGCCATCCTGTTTTGTTGCGATGTCTCACGAACTGTGAAGTGTCGCCTAATGTCGTGATCCCAGTAAAACTGTAGAAACGGATCACTCTTATACTCTCCTTCATTGTCCGAACGAAGAGTCTTCACTTTTCTACCTGTCTGCAGCTTTACTTTTTTCTTCCACTCCACAAAATATCCATGACCTCATGTTTATGTTTCATAGGGTATACCTAATTTTTTCTGGAATAATCGTCAATGAAAGTGATAAAATAGTTGGCCTCACCAAGTGATGTGTGCTTAGAATGATCCCAAACATCTGTGTGAATGTAGTCCAATATACCTTGGGTATTGTGAATAGCGGTGCCAAACTTTACTCTCCCAAACATCTGTGTGAATGTAGTCCAATATACCTTGGGTATTGTGAATAGCGGTGCCAAACTTTACTCTCGTCTTCTTCCCAAGTACACAATGCTAATATACCTTGGGTATTGTGAATAGCGGTGCCAAACTTTACTCTCGTCTTCTTCCCAAGTACACAATGCTTACACAGCTCCATCTTACAGGTCTTTGCACCTTTCAATAGCCCATGTTTCGCCAATGCCTATAGAGATTTATCACCAGTGTGTCCTAAACGCATGTCATAAGCTGGTAGTATCCTCCTCTGTCCTGTAACTGTCTTGTCCTTCAAATAGTATAAGTTGTTTTCCCTGACACCTCGCATCACCACCATGGATCCCTTCATGACCTTCAGAGTTGCATTCTTCAATATCACCCGATAGCCAGCTGCCTCCAAAGTTTCAAGTAAAATAATATTCTTCAACTGCGGTACGAACCTTACTTCCTTCAGCTCTCGAGTCACCCCGTCACATGGATCCGAACTGTACCAATACCACCAATAGAGCATACGTGATCATTACCCATAAGCACGACATCCCCTCTTTCCAACTCCTTAAAGCTGGAGAACCAATCCCTCCTAGGGTAAATGTGGTATATAGCACCAGAATCCATCATTCACTCTGTAGAGTCAGCGTAACAAACTAACGGTAATGCTGAGC